AAAGAGATATAAGCAGGGAGTCTTTCATTCACATTTCACTAAAGCTGCCTGTAATCGCTATCTCTCTCTCAATTATGGAGTTCTCTGTGAGGTCCTTTGCAGTGGTGTCCCTCTTGGTGTTGGTTTCCCTATCCACTGGTTTGAAATTTATTCAACTCCATAGCTTGTCAACTACTTTAATTAGCCATGCATGCATGTTGATTTACCAAATTTATTCAACTCCACGGATATGCACTAACTTACCTGGTTGGTCACTACTCACCAGATATACACTTACTTACCGGATTGGTCACTGTTCACCGGATATGCACTCACTTACCGTATTGAGCACTTACCAGTTTGGCTTCTTACCGGATTGAGCTGCTAACTTGCTAACTTCTGTTAATTTCTTAACACTCTCCCTCAAGCTGGAAGGTACCGGAGTAACTTCAAACTTGTCTTTCAAGAAGAAAAATCTTAAGTGGTTCAGTCCCTTGGTCAGCAAATCTACAATTTGGTCTGAGGAAGGCACGTATTTCACTTCCAATTCTTTTTCTATCACTTTATCTCTGATGAAATGTACATCTAATTCTATATGCTTTGTTCTAGCATGATACACGAGGTTCGCAGCCAAAGCACCTGCACTTATGTTATCACACCAAATGGTTGGAGTTGCTGCCAGTGGAAGCTCCAATTCTTGAAAGAGCGATTGAATCCAAGTGATTTCTGAGGTAGTTGATGCAAGGGCCCTATATTCTGATTCAGTACTAGAACGTGCCACAACATGCTGCTTCTTTGAAGAGCGGGCTATCAAGTTTTCTCCTACTAAACACAATAGCCGGTTGTTGATCTTCTATCATCCGGACATGAAGCCCAATCTGTATCTGAGTAACTATTCAAGGTTAGTCTGTCACTTCTTTGAATCCACAGTCCATGGTTTATTGTTCCTCTGAGGTATCTCAATACTCTCTTAAGTGCCTGCCAGTGTGAGGATGTAGGTGTTTGCAAAAATTGGCTTAATTTATTAACGGCAAAAGTAATATCTGGTCTGGTGTGTTGAAGGTACTGCAAACCTCCTACTGCACTTCTGTAAATTGAGAGATCCTTCAGTACTTCTCCATCAGTTTTGGAAATTGATTTACCCGTAGGAACAGGTGTAAGACATGGTTTTAAGTTCTGCAACTCAAACTTCTCAAGCAGATCTGCAATGTATTTTGTTTATGTGAGATGAAGTCCTGAGTCATGCTACAATACCTCAACTCCAAGAAAGTGATGTAGTATCCCCATGTCCTTCAGTGAGAATTTTTTGTTTAAGTTGTCTATGAACTCTGATAAGTGTAGTTTATACACTTATTTGTGGCCCTAAATTATGATATTTTATTGTCGTTTGGATTAAACTCTACCTAATTTATGTTATATTGTGTTTTGTAGGTAAAAATTTATGTTTGATGAAGAATTGGAGAAAAGAATGCAAAAGTGGTAAAAAATGGCAAAATCCAAAAATGAATTCCTTTGAGAGAAATTATATATTAAATGGGTTGGAGTTAACATGCCTCAATAAACTTACATTGAAAATTTTAATTGGTGGTCCAAATTAAACTTATATATATTATCCAAAACCTAGAAAAAGATATATAGGATATATGATACACACGTAGAAAAGGAGACAAAGACGGCGCAGGAGAGAAGAAAAACTGTCGAAGAGAAGGAAATCTGCTTCAGGAAAGAAAAGAGAGGAAAGAAAAGAAGAAAGAAAGAGAAAGAGAGAAGAAAAAGTGGAAAGAGAAAGAGAAAAGTCAAAACAAATTGAAGAAAAAAAACGCAGAGACAGAGGAGAGAGAAAGAAAGAAAAAAGAAAGAAGAAAAGAAAGGAAACTGTAAACACCAGAAATTTTCACGTTTCGTCAACTTTTGGTGATTTCTTTCCACTTTTGTGCGTTTTCATTTTTCAATATGAATAACTAATTTTTATATTAAGGAAAACAATCTAGTCGACTAGTGATCCTTTATTTTTCTATTCAA